TGTCTCTCTACTTGTCTGCCTCATGCCCCATGTGTGGCAGAGAATGTTTTCCTATTTGAATTTAAAGGTTTTTTCCATCATTTGTCTTTCCTTGGAAACAGTTTTTGATGTTTTCCCTTCTATGCCTATCCCGTAGATCCTACCACTATGTTTTCTAGTGAACTTCCTGTAATTGCACCAATCAGAATTTTCCAGTAACAAGTGGAATTTGACTAAGGTCACGTAGTCAGCAAAAGTAAATACTTTATCACAAAAAAGTTTCGGCATTCCTAACAGTCACTGCCTATCTTGTAAGTACCTGTTATCTCCACAAGTTGAGATACAATTCTGTGTGATATGCAGGATTCCTGCCCTTTGGGGACATCAGTTTACCCACTGGTCAGATGATAAGCGGCAAGGCCTTTTTGTTTTTTTCAAATCCTCCTTTCCTTTAATAACTAATGGATTTTCTGCTGTGGTTTCAACATTATGCTCATAAACTGGGTTATATTTTGCCCGTTTATTTGGCGTTTAAGGTGACCTAATGCTATATTGATGCATGCTATCAAACTTTCTACGTTAGGTAATAGACTGACTTCCAATGTTGGTAGTTTCTCATTAATGGTATTGGAGTGCTTTAAGGGGTGTTCATAGCAAAACAGTTTTCTGGTCATTGTGGGCCTTCCTTTGTTGTTCGTGGTAAATATACATACTCTGGTCCTGGATAGCTAGGATCTGTTTATGGAGAGATGAAGTAGCATAACTCAGATGTGCCACTGTTTTTGGCTTCAGTGGACTGGAGGCAGATGAACTGAGAAATTTCCATAGGAACAATGGGAATCTTGATTTTGTAAGGCTATAACTTTAGTCTCATATTTGGTGGAATAATGAACTTACAAAGCAGTCTAAGAAAAGTAGTCTTCTACAAAAAGCACAGGATGTATCAGTATACTGTTCCTACTACTGTGCTCTATATGCTTTCTCAAGTGTGTGTGTGTGTTTCTGGTCTTTGAATCACTTTTCTTAGTTAGAGCTTATGACTATGATTTGGTAAAGAGTGTTGGTCTTATTTACTACTAATCCCGGTAAGGGTAGGGAAGAATTAATTTTATGGGATGAAATGTGAGATAGAGAAGCTTCATACAGAAGGAAGGCTTTATTTAATTCCAGGCATATGACGTCTGGATTTCTGACAACTCCATAATTGGCAGGAGATCAGGCATTGAGTGACCAAAGTTCAAGGGAATGCTGTTTACATGCTTCAAGCTGGCTTTAATGAATGGTAACGGGTGTATATTTCTGGACAGAGTGCATTTTCCTTTTTTTTTAATAATTTATTTAACTATTTTACATTCATTAGTGTCAAGGTATCAGATCCCATGGAACAGAAGTTATGGACAGGTGTAAGCTGCCATTTGGGTGCTGGGAATCAAATCTTGGTCCTCTCAAAGAGCAGCCAGTGCTCTTAAGCACCAAGCCATATCTCCAAACCCCACGTTTTACTTTTTGTAACTACCTAGTGGCGGGGGTAAAGAAATCCACAAATATCTGGTGCATTAGAATTTTGAGTTTAGTTTTAGGGCCTTGGCTTTGTCTGGGGAGGGAGTGTTTTATTCCTGTCTATTTTAAGATTTTCTGATGTAATGCTAAACAGTATATTGTCTACTTAGTCCAGGAAGCTGTGTATATTAAACAGTTTCATTGTACTGCTAAGTGGTTTTTCTATTTGTTTGTAATACATACCTTTTATCAAAAACAGACATGATATACTCTTCTATTTGTAGGGTTTTCTTTTTTATTTCTTTTTTCTTTTTTGTTGTGTTGTTGTCTAACTGTAGTCTAGCATTTTGTACAGCTTGGGGAAACCATGTCTCTAATTTTCACTGGATTTATTGAGTGAGACAGAAGCATAACACCAAGACTTCTACGCAAAAATGTACAACAGAAGCTGGACTGTAGTTTGCATAACTTTAAGACATAGGCAGAGACGGGCAGATCTCCACCCTGGTCTACAGAGGGAGTTCCTGGATAGACGATAGACAGTGCTACCGAGAAATCCTATCTTGATGAAAACAAAAACAAGTAAACAGGATTCCAAAGTCGTGGCCTTAAGCAGCCAGCTGGAATTCCCAATTGAGAGAGTGCTTGGCGGGGCAATGTGACCTCTTGGTTTGATAAAAAATTATCAAACCAGGTATTCAAACAACTGAGAAGTTTTAGACTATCAGTTGTATTCCCAGTGAGGTTTTTGTCCATGGTTAACCTTTTCTTTTCCCCTGCAGACAGTCTCAACAGGATTCAGTACTAGCTGCTTTTAGGAGGCACATGTGTTTTCTTCACGGTATGGATGAGAATCAGGCTTTATACATTGTCTAGAACTATGGGAGCTCCTATTCAGCTCAGAGAGATGTCTGTTTTATTTAAGTCATGTTGTCAGCGTCAAACTTTAAGGATGGACAGCTTCTATTTCAAGTTGGTAATCTGAATCCTCAACTAAAATTCGTTGAAAACCACTTCATTGGGTTGGGAGAGTCTCTGGTTTCCTCCCACCGTCACTATCTCTGCCCCCACCCCCTCATTCTGACCCCTCTCTCTCTCTCAGCTGTCTTTGCCATGTTGAGCTTAATATTTTTCTCTATAGTTTACTCATTTATTAGCATTCAAGAATAATGCAATTTTGTATATATACTCTTAATGGGAAAAGATGTACAAAAATGAGATTCAGAGGCATACAATGCAGAAAGATTTTCTGTCAAAAGCATGGACATGGACTTTACAACATTAGGCTCTAACTGATGTTAAGAGCAGGGCTTTGGCTTGATGTTGTAGAATTTGATTTTCTATTATGAGCCTTTCCATAAAGGGATGCTTGTGATGATTTTGGTAGTAGTTACAAATAGTTAAGGTCAAAAGTTGTGGTATTTGAGGGCTGGAGAGATGGCTCAGAAGTTAAGAGAACTGACTGCTGTTCTGGAGGTCCTGAGTTCAATTCCCAGCAACCACATGATGGCTCACAACCATCTATAATGAGATCTGGTGCCTAGAACACTATACATAATAAATAAATTTTAAAAATAAAAAATTTTGGTATTTGATAAAAGGGTTAGCTAGTGGGTTCTTACTAGAAAATTAGAGGAGACAAGCAAGAAAAGTAAACTGAAAAATGTACACCCCCTTCTTCAAACCCCTACTCTTATGGAAATCTCTCGTTCAATAGATAAATGTTTACTTTGTTTTCAACAGCATGTGTTGAGTTCGTGGAAAGAGCCATAACCAGTGTTGACTCTCAATGAGACAGTGAAATGTTATGTTCCTCATCATTCTCGTCCTGATCGCTCTGCTTTCACTGTCAGCCTTTTCTCCAGATTTTTATTTTTAAGTAAAATATGGAGGATTTTGAAGGAATAAATTAATTAGTCTTCTTTATTGGCTCCATTGCCAATAAAGCATTGTCTGTTGCTTTTCTGTCAAACCACAAATATGTAAAAGAATGAAATAGCCAGTGTTGACTGGCCTGGTATGTTGTCGTGTGCATATAATCCCAGTACTGGAGATGCTTACAGAGGAAAATTATACTGACTGTGAGGCCATTCTGGGTTTCATCGCAAGAGCCCTTCTCAAACAAACAAAATACCCCCAAACATGTTTTCCACTTCAGATGTATGCTATTGATCTTTGTGAGCCGAGGAAATAGTAGATGGCCTTTTTCCGAAGGCCTCTATTAATCATGAACTCAGAGTACTTCAGGGTAAGATTTCAGAGTGGAATCTATGAGCTCTCTGGGGTTAGGCCTTGGTATTTGCTAGCCTGTTGTTCTTAGACTGCTTCCTGTTTTTTCCCAGTAGATCGGACTGCTTAGAATATTAGAAGTATTTACCAGTCAGAAATATGCTAAAAGCTATGTCAGTTACAGTTACTATGTTGACTATGAAAAGAGATAAATAGCATCTATATGTTCTGAATTGTCGGGATGTTAGGAGAAAAACTGTTTTCAGTGATATACTGGTATGAAATCACATTTTTTTTCTTATAGTACATATAGGAAACTAGATGAATTTTTCATTCGTATTCTGATTAGTAATATATTGCCTTTACTCTTTATTTTAAGTCAAAACCTCTTGAATTTTGTTACACTTGTATAAAGGCTGTTGTATAACCACAGAAAAGGATGCTTTGGAAATAGTCACAGCATTTTTGAAACCTAACTTCAACCACTTAGTACATACATGTGTTATTTAATGCCTATTGTCCACCACGCCGAACCTTCGTTCCATCATACTGTTTTTAATTTTTAGTGTTTCCATGAAAATATATGTAAATTATATCATTGGCATTCTAAATTAAAGCTTTAATTGTTAGTTTCGGGGACAGTCAACGCATGAGAGAAAGGAACAACAGCACACATTCGTGCTCAGGAGGACTTCAAGGATCCAGCAGCTACCTGGAGTGGTGCTCCTCTGAAGAAATCCTACTCGGATGAATATAATACAACCTGCTAAGTGTCCTAGCACTTATCAGGTTGTATTATCATTGTCCGTGTCTATGGCTCTCATCCATCAGGGAAAGGATGGTGTCATATTCGTCTTTGTATTCACACTGCCTAATCTGGTGCACATTGTAGGCCTCATTAAATGTTTGTTGAATGAAAAAGTGAATCATCAACAGACATTAATTGGGCGCCTGCTTTGTGTTATCCATTGGCTCAGCTTCTTCCTGGCAGTTGCCTCCAGTGCCTACAGCTTGGAACGTACTTCCTTTTGAATCCTGTCGTAGGATGAGGACTGTTACAGTGATTGTACTTTACCTTTTCGTGACTGTTTTATGAAAAGCATTCTATAGCTATTTCTTATCTATGCTGATGGTGTAAAAGGGCGAATAGAAGCCAAAGTGCCTTAAATGTCATACTTGATAATGTGTTTCCTATGAAACATTTCGTTTATATGCCTGTGTTTTGGAATCGGCTGCTTATAGATGTTGGATTGCTGATGTTGTTACTATAATTGTTACCAATTACTCCCTAGGTTGGACCACAGTGATCATTGAGTCAAAGCTTCATCCTTGTATTCTGGTGTCTGCTATTATGGTTGGTATTGACTTCTTCATTTTCATCCTTGTCCAGCTCTCCCCTCAACTGCATTAATAGGTATGCTTCCACATTTCCTGTCTACACACTCCAGAGCTCATATTTCCTTCCTTTCTTATATAATTGATCTCTATTATCCCATGCGAAATCTGTTAATGTATTACAAAGGGAATGCACCTTAACCTCTTCAGCACCCTTTATTAGTTACTTTTCTAAGGCTGTGAACAAAATGTCATGTCCAAATGCAAATTCAAGAACAGGGTTTATTTGTTGCTCTCAGCTCCAGAAGCGCAGGCAGTGTGCCATGTGGTCCGGCTTGGGGAAACAGTAAGGCCTCAACTGGTACCACTACCTGTGTTCAAATTCATGAGCCTATGGGGACAGTGCTCTTTCGAGCTACAACAAAGGGTAAAACCTGCATCTTGTTAGAACATGATAATTTTATGTGAAAGGACTTCCCTCTTCAGTAATGCATGCAGAGCTATTAAGAAAAGAAGACAACTTGGCAATTGTGAAAACTTTAAATTTCAGAGATGGATTGTGACTAGTCCGCTGACCAGTGACACAGTTATGGAGGTGAAGCTGCTGAAAGGGGAACTACAAAGTATGGATTCAGGACAGAAGTTTTAGAAAAGGTCTCTTCAGGCCCAAATGCTAGATTGTACGGCACGAATCAGCAAATTGTGGAAGTAAATACAGTACTTTTGAATCTTGTCGCAGAATACCATTTGGTTTCCTTAGTTGAGGAGCGGGAAGTTAACAAGAATAGCACATGTTTTTACGTGGTCCCTGGACGGATCTGAGGGCAGGAGTAGACTCTGTCTGTGAAGCCTTAGTATAAACAATATTCATGTTTTTACTTTTATTTCATTTGGTTTGAAACAAGATCTCGCCATGTATGCCTTGGCTTTCTGTAAATGCTCTACATAGATCAAACAGGCCCCCTAACTTGGAGCCATCCTGCTTCTACCTCCCTATTGCTATGATTAAGGGCATGGGCTACTAAACATGGCACAAATTGGGGACTTAGTTCAGTGGTAGATCATTTTCCTAGCAGGTAAGGTACAACTTACAATAGGAGAATGGGTGAGTATGATATTTTACAAATACATGTGTAAACTGCTTCTGGGTGGGTTACTTAGTCTAGGGGTTGTAACCCACCCTGCAGTCAGTTATTCCAGGGTCCCGGAGAGGCACTATCTGGAAGATAATGGGATAAGAGAGAGGAATAAGGCTAAGCGGGGATTCCTGTCAAAGCCTCCGTTTAGAGATGGGGTACAGCTTATATAGGGTAAGGAGTTGGGGGGTTGGCAGAGGGGCCTGGGCTCTTGCTGCATGGTTCACGTTGGTCATGTGGTCCAGGAGGTTACCTTCGGTCAGGTCACATAGGCCTGGAAGTCATGAGTTGACACACATAGTTCTCTAGATAGTTTGGAATGTGGGGTGGGTTCTGCTAACAGAAAGCTCTCCATTAACAGCCAATTTGGGTGTGGGGTAGGCTCTGTCAATAGAACGATTCCTAACACAATTAGGGGTGTGGGGTTCTCTGCAGACTCCCCAGGGTGATGGTTCCTGCAATAATCCTTGGAGGAAATGGCTCCAGACATACATGTAGTCATTTATCAGATCAAGCTGAGTGAGAGGTAGCAACATGTAAGTCTCTTTCTTGGACACAGGGTTTCGCTCTTTGTCCCCGGCTGTCCTGTAACAGGAGCACAATGTACCACCTATCTACCTCATTTTTCTTTTGAATATTATTTGCTGAGGATAGGATCCATGGGTATTCTTCAGTGTTATCGTATTTTAACAGATTTAATGATCACTGTTCTCATGACTAGTCCCTCAAAGACGCAAACCTGCTTTATATTTACCCCTTGTTTTAAGGTAGACAACTGAGGAAAAAGCACAACAAGCCCCACCGGAAAAGAAGTGGCTTTTTCAGTTACATGCTAACCTTTTTTCCTGGTTTGTGCATGTGAACCATTCCTTTGCATAGTGTTCCTGTCTTTACATAGTAAATCCTTATAGTGTGGTTGACTAATTACATACACCACTCACAGTCAAAAATCCCCAGGTTCTAGTATCAGAAGAAAGTATCTTAAAGATGTGGGGAACGTAGCTGCAGACTCTGTTTTATAATTCTTTTTCAGTTCACTAATGAAAGCTGAATATTCCCATAGTCACTGCTACACTGCTGAATGCTCGTGTTCATTACTGTGACACCACCCAGCTGATGGCATTTTGGCAACCGGAGAAGCGTTACCCAACAATAAACGACAGTCTCCGATCTCTCCCTTTTGGCTTGCTCATCAGATACTACCTAGAATTTGTTTGGGGGCAAGGTTGCAGGAGTCAATATTTTACTTTAGGAGTCTTGCTTAATTCTTCTATCTTGGGGATTGGTGGGATAGGTCATAGATATGGACAACATGTGACTTTCAAATATTTTCCCAATAAATTCACAAGGTAACTTTGAGTCAAGCTTTATGTCTTATCACGAATCTTTCCTCCTCTTTCTTACATGTCCTAACAGAATTTTTGTTCTTTACACCCCCCTTTCTGTTACCCCACCGTGATATGTTTCAGCAATGTCTCTTCCTTTCCCTGTTCAGAAACGGATCAGTGAAACCGGCATTGTGAGTAAAGAGGCTGAATGTTGGCATGGAATCCATGATGCTCTCGGGATGTAACAGCAGGAATGGCGCACAAAGAGGATATAGAGGAAGGTTGTCCAAAGAACAAATGCTTGATATTTTGGCAGATATGGGACCACCAAGCTCTTACCAATGGGAGAAGCCTGATATTTGTGAGTGAATTTAGAAGGCAACTACTTGGGTCCCCTAGGGTGAAAGTGATGAAGGAAAAGGGAATGAATGAGATCTCTTTCTTCTGTGGAGCACATAATGAGGCTTCATATATATCTTTATCTTGTGTCATTTTAAATGTCACTGCTTCTTTGGAGATTTCTCCTTGCCCAGTTGGGAAATGACATGGTTTCACTTGAAATGCGTCCAGATTTATAAGGCTCAAGGACAGGAGAAAGCACAAGACGTGCTAATTAACTAAGTGAAAAAGTAGAATGCGGGAACCATGTCCTCAGAGCTGCCATAGCCATAAATGGCAGACTGGGATCTAATTCATGATGGGATGGGAGAGACATGAAATAAGGAACTGCTGCTTTGGAGACATTTTATAGAAGAGGTTTAGGGGACAGGAACTCCCAGTTTCACGTTACTCTGTGGGTTTGAGGATTCTTCCCACTATTAGCTCACTGGGCCACTTGAATTTGGTGTCATGATGCCATTTTATCACATTGGCAGGTGTCGCTCATCAGTGGGTACAGTACCTGAAGGAACAAGAGAAGCAACACCCAGTGGACAACAATGTGACATATTGGGTGAAGACCATTGAAAACACTACTTGCCTCTACTGGACTGGGGTTTTCTTTTCTTCTTGAAACATAACATAGTTAATACTTTGACTGAAGAACATGCATAATTTTATTATCCTTGAAATAGCTGTTCATAACATTTGAGTCTATTTACCATCCATTCTTTAGAAAAGTAGTGTGTAAAGTAGAATTTTATAACAGTATACATTTTACTGTATATTTTTATTCTGGTATTTTATCATTTCAGAATTTAAAAGTATATTTCTATGTCATGTTCTTTGATAAGTCTACATAGGATATGGACTTTACTGGATTTATTTAGACACTGCCATATTACTCTACTTTTTGGCCTGGTCAATTTTTTTTAAGCATGTAACATTGTAATCATATTTTCTTGAAAATTAACTTCTACCATGGAATTCTTTTACTTGAAGACTTCATAAAGGTGCTTTTGAATTATTCACATTATAGTTGCACAAATCATAATCCTACTCGTAGTGAATAAATGTGAATATTTCTTTAACCCATTAGAATATAACCTTTTTGTAAGGTTCTAGTAACTACATAAGTAATGTGTCTGTCTTCAGATGCTCCTGTCACTTTAGTATTTGTTCTTATTCACTGGGGATTGTTGGTTTATGGAGAGGAGCTGTGTTGTATAGTAGAATTACAGGTGCATACCACCATACCCAGGAGTAGGAGACTATGCAAGTGAGTGAAAGTTCTAGAGAGGCCGGAGGTTTTCTATGCAGCTGAAATTACAAGCAAATATAATCTCCCTGCCATGGGTGCTGGGAATGCAAATAAGGTCCAGTGCAAGACACTATGCTCTTCTAATCACTAGGTGATCCCTCTGGCACCCTGGGTACAAGTTTTGTGTGATAAGCTAACCATGGGAGCAAGTTCAATTTTTTTTTTTTCAGTTTTCATGTAAGATAATTTTACTAGCTCTGCCTCTGGAAATTTTAGCCATTAGGGTTTGGTCTCAGTTCCTTGAGAGCATATAGCAATGGGGTTTATTTTTTTGTCTGAGTACCTCTCTGCTTAAGTGTCCTTTGCTGTCCCTTTTATTGCATGTTCCCTCATATTCTTTTGAACTTTTAGATTTTTCATTTAAACTTGACAAAACCTTTTGTAAATTATATTGTTGGGTAATATGTTCTTCCAGCTATTTACTTGTATTTTGTGCTTTTAGCTGTCTTTTAATGCTGATGTTTAGTTACTAAATTTTTGGAATCATACAGCATTGTTTGGTACGTTATATCAGAAACTTAATAATAGTTTCACCCAGGTGGTGTATCTTAGATTATATTTGTTTGTTTGTTTTTTTCAAGACTGTGTTTCTCTGTATACCTGGTTGTCCTAGTTGGCCAAAATCATGCCAACAGAAAATATTTGGATACTTTGTGCCATCTCTCTTTTTTTTTTTTTAGAGCAAAATCCCTCATTCTGATCTCCTTTGTTCATCCCTTTTGCTGACCATCCACCTGCCATTAAAAGATAATAAACATCCATAACCCATATTTTGGGAATGTGGGTATATTTCTTCCTGCGAATTGTGGCCTCTGGTAGTTTTTGGGATACCCTGAGGAAACAGCTGTAACTGTTAAGCAGAGAAACCTTGTCTCAAGGGGAAAAAAAAGATTACATTGAATTAATTGAATAACCTTTAGCTTTAAAGGCAAAGTCAATAAATAATGGCTGATAGCCCAAAAGTCCTTATTGTGTAAGGTTCCTTTTTTTTTTTTTTTTTTGGACAGGGTTTCTCTCTAACTTTGCAGTCTTTCCCAGCGTGTAAGATTTCTTCTACTTTTTCCTGTTTTGTTTTTCTTTCAAGACAGGGTTTCTCTGTGTCTGCCTATATGAGTGTGTGTGTGTGTGTGTGTGTGTGTGTGTGTGTGTGTGTGTGTGTGTGTAAGAATTCTTAAGCAAAGTTTCATATGAGACAGTTCAGGCATGTGACTATAAATCTATTCTTGTTGGTTTTTTTCGTTTGGTGACAGAGTTTCTCTGTAGTCCTGGCTGTTGTGGAACTTACTCTGTATGCCCCTGTCTCACCATGCTCCAATTGTTGTAGCCTAATACCTTCTTCATATTAGTACACATGACATAAGGCTGGGCTTGTGCCATGGTTGTAGAGTATTACCTGGCCTTCTGAGTTCCATCTCTAGCTCCACTTCAGTAGATATATTCGCATCTGTTCACCTCCAACCTGGTCATTGCGTGACAAAGGTCATTAGGCCGCCTCAGCAAGAATTTGACTTGGGAGGCACTGTGAGTTCAGGGTCAGCAGTTCCAGGACAGCCAGAGCTGGTTTTCAGTGAAGCCCCTATCTCAGGAACCAAAACACGAAGCAAAAAAGAAAAAAAAAATACCCATTTCCCTTAATCAGCTCTTTATTTGACAGACAGTAGCCTCCACAGTGTATATGTAAGCATTTATTCCGCGTTGCTCTAACTAGGTTGTAGCTGTTGTCTTCCGCTGAAGTGTTGTAATTTGCTTCAGGTTGCATCTGTGCAGCTGTTACTTACCTCTATTTAAGTATCCCAGGCAAGCCTTGAACTTTTGGTCCTTCTGCGCTTCTGGTCCTTTTGCCTCCATCTTCCTAGTGCTGGGAATACCCCTGTCTCACGAGAACGGGTTTATTCAGTGCTGTAGAGTAGGCCCAGTGCTCCCCTGGTGCTAAGCCAGCACTATACCAACTGAACTGTATCTCTGGTGCCTGATGCTATAGTTTTTAATGTCATTTTGTCTGCTTATTTGGAGTTTCATTTCTTTCTTTACATTTGTTTTTTGTTGTATTTAATTTTTTCACATAGGGTCTCCTCTTAGTTTTGGCTGGCCTAGAACTTGCTATGCAGACTAATTTGGTCTCTACCTACTTAGAGATCTGCCTTCTATCTCCCAAGTACTAGAAAATAAAGTCATGTAAGGTTCTCTTTTGTTTTGAGACACAGTCTCACTGTGTAACCCGTTCTGTTCTGTAATTCACGGTAGGCCTTCTACCTTAGCCTCCGCTGTGAGTTCTAGAGATCCAGCACAGATTGTCAGTCTTGGAGAGCAAGTGTCTTTGCCCCGTGAGATAGCACTGGCACTTTTTAAATAGCTGTAAGATACAATCCTTTGGAAAACATTCATTTTCTATTAGAACTAGTTGTTTTCTAACCACGGCCATGGCTATCCTCTATGTACTTATATCTTAAATTTTCATTTTATTCAGTCAAATATTTTCTAATTTCTCCCATAGGATGCTTTGTGGTGTATTATGCTATTGATGCCCACCCCCTTGGGTTTTGAGGGTATTCAAGACAGAGCTTCTCTATGTAGCCATGGCTTTCCTGGAACTCTGTAGACCAGGCTGCTTCAGAGACAGAGAACCACCTGCCCTCCGCTGGGATTAAAAGCGTGCACCACCAATGCCTGGCTTCTGCTATTCATTTCAAATTGAGTTAGATATTGCCAGAGAAAAACCTTTTAATTGCCGGGCGGTGGTGGCGCACGCCTTTAATCCCAGCACTCGGGAGGCAGAGGCAGGCGGATCTCTGTGAGTTCGAGACCAGCCTGGTCTACAAGAGCTAGTTCCAGGACAGGCTCCAAAAAAAAAAAAAACCACAGAGAAACCCTGTCTCGGAAAAAAAAAAAAATTCTAGACAGAGTACTCATCTCTTCCAACCATGCTTAATGCTAATTCCACAGCTCTTAATCCCCCGCACTCAGGATGCAGAGACAGGCAGATCTCTGTGAGTTCAAGGCCGGCCTGGCCTATAGAGTTAGTTCCAAGACAGACAGGACTGTTACACAGAAAAACCTTGTCTCTAAAGAAAACAAACAAACAAAAAAACCCACACAGCTCTTTGTGAGACAGATGAAACACAGATGTAGTTTGATGGATCAGTTTCTCCGTAATCTTCTTGGTGTGGAGGTTGTGTGGATGTTTGGTAGTGTCCTCTTTTTGGCTCTTTGACAGCACGTTTCTCTGCCAGCCAGAGCAGTGGTGGCATATAGCTTAAATCCCAGCACTCTGGAGGCATAAGCAGGTCAGTCTCTGAGTTTGAGGTCAGCCTTGTCTACAGATGAGTTCCCGGACAGCCAGGGTTATGTAGTCCAGGCTGGCACCTGACAGAGATACTCCTGCCTCTGCCTCCAAAGTGCTGGGATTTAAGCTATCTGCCACCATGCCCAGCTCTAGGGTCTTTGTTAGTTCTGGCTGGTGTAAGAAGCAGGCTAAGAACTGGTCCCTTCAGTCATTTCTTACAGTGCAGTTCAAAAGGAAGATGAGCTGTGTGGTTCCTTATCCTTACTAGTCACATAGGTAACCTGGTTTGTGCGCCTGTTTGTGTGGAGGTAGCAAAACCAAGCAGTGGACTCGCCTCATTATGCATCTTGTCAGATCTGGATTGCTCCTGAGAATCCAGGCCCCAATTCTTTCTTGTCCCACCTACAGAATGAAACCCACCCCTCACGTCTTCAGCCACAGCTTCTCTCCTTCATCTCATTCAGGGATTATTGTCTCAGTCAGTCACTCTAACATGGTGTCCCTATGGGGACTGAATTGCAACTGTCTGTATTTCAGGTTCACAGAGCAGTTCCTTAAATAGTAGGTTGTCACCCACAGGGCTGCTTTTGCTATGGAAATTTCCTTCCTGTGCCAAGCAAAGCCATCCTGGCTGCCTTGATCCTTCTCTGCTTGGGGCCCTGCTTGGTCCTCACTAGTCTCCTCACCTTTTTGTCCCCGATCCTCTCTGCAGAGTTCCTGAATATAGAACCCTAAGGTACATGCAAAGCAATGAATTTATTGCTTCCATGAAGGACTGAAGTGAAATGTTGTTCAGTAACATTTTCCCAGGAACGATAAAGAGGCTCTCTGGATGTGAAGGCTGAAGCTCAGTCTACTGGTCTTTCTGAAACTTATTAGTCTAAATAGAAAGGACTGTGCTTTTTAGGAAGGTCTCAAGTGCCCTTTGTACTTCTCATCCATGGACTTTGGAATGGCTCCGATGTGCACTTTGGTATGTTTGGGGCTGCCTGTGGTGAGCTGGTGAAAGCTTTGATGTGCACTTCCTTGTGGAGGCGGCCCCTTTAAGGGAGGAGGGGAAGCTGCTGTGCTGAGTGCTGCAGCCAGCAGGGTTGCCTAGCTGGCAGCTGCAGCTCCTGCTCAGAATGTTGGCGGCTGCTGTGTCTGTCTCCTAGGAGCCCATTGGGCCCTATGCCTGCCTGAATAGCACTCCTTCCTGTAAGCAGGCAGCAGTGCTAGAAGTTTCAATGCACAGGCCGATGGCTCGCCACTCCGCCACCCCACTACCCGACCTTTTTTTTTTTTTTTTAACCTGGGCAAGTCTTCATTATGCCTGTTACTGGCTCTGCCACCGTGACAAGACGTGCCTAGAATTTTTTTTCAGGGTACTGCAAACAAATCTAACTTTTTAAAAGCCCATCTTGCGGTTCCACAAACCGCACCCACATAGTGATATACTCAAAATTACGGATTAGTGCAGCATTATGAAGTCAGGAATCCCATGCTAGGATTTCTGGCCTGATAGCAATGCTGCATTTCCGTCCACGTGGTGTGGGGGGAATGTAAGCCCAGAAACCCAGAAGACGAAGCTGGACAGTCAGGAGATGAAAGACACTGGGCCTACCTAGGGAGCTGGAGGCCAGCCTGAGCTGTATCAGACAGTGTTGTCAGCAACAAGGAACTGCCACAAAGAAAATGCTGAGTTTTCTTGCACTGCCTGGCTTATGCAAGGAGTTTTGGAAATGGCGTTTTAAAAGCAAAAGGGATGCTGTGTTACACACTTTGCCCTTCATCTTTCTCTCAGAGGAGAAGCTGTGAGACAGGCTTCTTCCTTTCTCAGTTGGCCGCCCTACTGAAGCAGTGCTAGTCCTACGCTGAGGGGTAGACCCTGAAAGCAGCTTTTGTATCCAGAGCCTCAGGCTGAGCCAGCTGCAAGAGTTTGGGTGATTGCCACACGTCTTTGACATCTGCCTTTATAATTCCTGGCCTAGTGCAGTTAATGTGTGGTCTAACTTTGTTCCCCACTGCAACTTTTTCCTATCTGGAGTTCAGGGGCTCCTTTTCTAATGTCACATACATAAAACACCTGTGATATCTGCACTTAAATATGAGTGCCACAGAGGCAATTACACAGTGTAAGCCTTCTGTGGGGGCTGTTGTTGGTACCCGGAGAGGGGATGACCAGTCCTTTTCAAGCACAATGTTGTTTATCGTGTGCAACAATTTGTTATATCACCACTACTATTTAGTGGGTATTTACATGCTTGTGTTCGTATTATTTGTGAACAAAAGCTCCTGAAATGAAACTGCCTCTTGCTGTGAACAACAAGCTAGTTTTAGCCTTCTAGAACCGCCATTCCTTGCCCTGCTCTGTATCTGAACTAACATCTTGTGATAATAAATAAAAACCTCGAGAAGCTATTAACTTAACAGGACATTAGCTTCTGCATATCCAGAAGCTGTGAATGCCACCAGATAATGTCTGGGCCTATAAATAGTTCCCCCATCGCATTCTCCCTGCCTCTCTGGTGTACCTACTGATCCATGTATTTTCAACTTGCCTTGATGCATGATCTTCTTTATTCTGTATAACTATAAACCATCAAGAAACTGGTTTCACATTAAAAAATGGGATTTGGGTAACCTAAATCTGTTTTCCTAGGCCATGGTTCCTCAAAATAGCCCCGGAA